CGGCCGCGGTGCTCGCTGTAGCCCGGCTGCCTAGCGCGCTTCACCCGCAGCGGGCTGCCGCGTTGCATCAAGGCTTAAAGAAAGCCGAGGAGGGTGTTTTGCACGGATGGGAGGCCCGTTTGCTCAACCCAAGTGCTTAAGCCTGTGGAAAACGTTGGCCGTGCCCGATTCTGATGGATTTTGCACCCGGGAACACCGCTGCCGTCCGTGGGGTGAGTCCTGCCCCGTGCTTCACGTGGGCAAGGTCAGCAAAGGCCCCTTATTTTGAGGTATCTCAGAATTAGGCCGCGTTTCTATTTTAATTCCCTGATAAGAGCTTTCTTCCATATTAGGAAGTGCAGCTCCCCCCCCAGAATAGCTGTGGTCATGCTGAGCAAAGAAGGGATTTTCCTCTTCCGTGAAAACTTTTGTGATTTCTAAAGTTTGGAAAGCGGGGGAGGAGATAAACTTAAAATCACAAACTCTGAAAATCTACAGCATTTTGATTCTGAGCAAATGAAATAGTTCATTATAGGAAACCAAGTACCAAATGATCAAAAATAATTCTTATCAGAAGTTATTTCAAGTGAGGAAGTGTTCAGATGGCTTATTTGTTTTAACTGAATTAGGAAATTCCTCAGTTTAACGCTGTTTTAAAGAAACACCTTTTTTTCTTTTTTTTTTTTTTTTAATCCCCTCCCTGGAATAATCCCTAATCGCAAACAGTTTCAAATCAGGAAAGGAGAAAACAGGTGCTAGACCAAAAAGACGACAGGAGACTAGAGGAGAGACTGTTCCCACGCGGCATTAAGCGCAGGGGAGATTTGTCCCCTCACCTGAAGTCGTGCCTGGGCGAACCACACTGACCTGCCATGTTGGAGACCCGGAAAGCTTCCTGGTTCTTTGGCGTTTTCGATCGATTCTGGCTCCGCTGCTTGCCGCCGGTGGAGCGGACGCTGCGGAGATGAACCTCCGTGGCTTTGAAGAACGCGACCGTGAAGGGCTGCTTGTTCTGCGGGCCGTGCCTCCCGATGAGACCGGCCAGTTTGGGATTGATGCTTTGTCCTTAGCAACAGAAGGGACTGATGAGAGGGACTGCAGCAGCTTTGCGCCTTCACCGAGCGTAGTAACGGCAGCAAGAAACCTAGCTCACGTGCCTGGTTCCTCGCACTGACCGACTGCGGGGCTGCACCGAGCCGACGAAGCTGCTCCTGACAAGAGCAGCTCAGCACAGCTAACTTCAGTTTATATCTGTGTGTAAAAGTTACATAAAATACTCCTACGTATTATTTTACCCTAAATCCGCTTAGCATTAGCCTTTCCTGCATTCTTTAGCAGGGTTTCTTTAAGTTCACCAGCCTATAATTTGAAGTGATCCTATAAAAGGAACCATAAAACTCAGCCCATAGGAACACTAAATTCCCACTAGAAGGTTATTAACTTAAAATAAAAATGCCTTGTACGAAATGTCGACAGAGTTTCAGATATACTGTAGCTGGAAGAAACAAATAGTTCAGCTTTTCAGAAACGTTTTGTTTATTACTGTATCTTTCATACTCGACACTACTGTATCTGACAACCTCGTTGCGAATACGTTGATTAGCGTTCACGCTCCTTTCATACTGTGGGGTTTCTTTTTTTTGGTAAAACATGAATGAGTGGTTTCTCTGTAGAAAGAAAGCCATTATTTGTGAAAGATAAGGTAAATGTCACATTTCTCCCCGTTCTGTACCGCAGGGTGGCTGGGTGCTGTTGAGAAGTGGAGGGTGATACCTGGAATTGCTCTGCTCTAAGCTACTGAGTCCTGGTGTTAAGTCAAAGTTATGTTCATGGCTTTTGGGCTCCTTCTGCTAAGAGCTGGTGATTGTCAGCCACAAATCAAATAAGCCCAAGAACAGCCGATACGTTCTTCGCAGAGGCCCAAAGGGCCGGCTCGGAGCAGGGAAGCAGGTGAGGGGCTCTATAGCCCAGCAAAAATTTGGCCAAAGAGTTTGTGTTTTACACCTTGTGGCTGCCCCCACAAAGTGCTTAAGCAAGCGGCTAATGCTAAATACGTGTAGTTCCACTTGCGCGCGTGCTCTCGTTTCCTGAAAGCCAAAGGAGTTAAACTCCATCAATGCTGTAGCTGTGGCTTTTTCCTGCTCCTTCAAAGAAATCTTTCCACTGCCTGAAGCTGTTTAAATTAATGAGGATATCTGTGACTATGTTTTTTCCAGTGTAAATTATTTTACCTTTGCCATGGCTCTAGAGAGTAGGTCAGCAGCATGCAGAGAGGGGACCCACCTTTACACTGGTATGTTTAACGCATTTGCATTAGCGTAGCAACAAGTAGAATTTGGCCAACAATTTCCGAATTTAACGTGTTCAAGACCAGAATGGTGGAAAAAGGTATGGAACGCGCTCTGTGAGAAGTAGCGTGTTTCTTGTTAACGAAAATGGGAGAAATCCACTCTTTGCTTCAAACTTTCCTGTACATCCAGAAAGCAAGATCAGACATGAAGATGTACGTTAGTCCTCGTCAGACATAAACGTCTCCCAAAAGAACTAATGCTGCGCTCTTGAACCAGAGGGCTCGGCTTTATCTGCTCCTACGAAGCTACTTTTGTAATACCATCAAAAACAGGATCTCAGATAAACTAAGTAAAGCTAAACGGCCAGTTGTTGTTCGTCTGCGCTGCTGCAGAGCAAGGCGCTGGGCTGAGAGCTCGCCGCAGGCGAGTGAGTCATTCGACTGTTTCTTTTGCCTGTTGCTTGAGCTTCTCTGACTGTCTGCAAGTAAACAAATACCCTGTGATTCCACCCTGGCTATGCATGCTGATAGACTTATCTGGCATGATTATAAGGAAATATAAAGATCAGTTTAATTAACTTCTTTTGTGTCCTTTTGTCTGTACAATGCTCATGAGTTCATAATGTTTTATACAGCTTGCATTGGCTTCGTGGTTAGAGATTTCTACATGTAACAAGCGATGCAGAATATAAAACTGGAAAAACTTGAAAGATTTTTCTAATTCATTATTCATTTTAAAGTTAGTTTTATATCACTGAAAGTTTGTATGCCCAAGCATATAGTGTTGCACCAAAGTCCTGTTGTGTTTGCAGACACATGATTTTCATATGAAGTCTGGGTGTAATAGCAGCATTCTTGTTAGAGCACAGTTGCTCTAAATCCAAAACAAAACGTAGAGAGCAAGGAAGGACATGTCCTTGCCATTCAAAATGAAAAGAAAAATCTGTATGTTTGGTGGAGAAATGGGAGCACAAAGGTGTGCTGCCAGGGAACGCTGTTACAGCAGACAAGCTGTTGGGTTCACTTTTTAAAGGTAGTAGTTGGCTTTTCTAATTTTCCTAACAGGTTGATTTAAATATTTTGTTACTCTATTTTGAGGAAAAAAGCAGGTTACTTTTTACACAATTTCAAACATGCTTATGACCTCAGCTAGCTTTTTCAGAAGCGTAAACAGGAATTAGATGCCTAATTTTCACTGACTCAAATAATAGATATGAATTCGTTTATCATTGGAGCTGAGCATTTCTGCTTTTGCAAAGGGGTCTCTGCAACAGATCTCGTTGTATGTTGTTAAGGGTCCGTTTCTGCCTCTCAGGCAGAACAGAGAGAGTTGAGTTACCGTAACTGTGCTGTGGCCGCAGCTTTTCCTTGCACGCAGGATTCTGAAAGGTCTGGACTGAAATCTGTGCCACATTCACAAATCAGCATTTCAGATTAAATATCGAGAAAAATAGCAAAAGTACACAGGCAGCTTGCATACGCGCAAAGCATAGGCTGTGTCCGTGAAGACACATGTTGTGTGCAACTAAAGGCAAGCATGTTCATGACCATGAGTCTGCGTGGGGAAAGTTAGCTTCAAAATCTGAACCTCGGAGCTCTGGAAGTCAAGAGGGACTTCACCTTCGGTGCAGTAACATACTGCCAGCTGCAACGACAGCGTGTGTTTTCTTCTGAAAGACTTGGTGTTAATCACGGCTAGAAACAGCACGTTAGGCTGTTTCACGGTTTCCTTACTGCTGGTACTGTGATCTTTCCTGTTGTTTTTTGCCTTGCGTCCAGGAACGCAGCACCCTTATTTGAAAAATCCTCTGTAAATCTCTGGTGTTCAGTTATTTATATTAACATCATAATTTCATGAAATTCTCTTACACTTTGTGCAGTCATAATGCTTGGTTTAATACCTGTTTCTCTCTCATCAGCTCCCTGTCTAGAAAAATATTTCTAGACAGACTATTAAGCACAAAGACTTTCCAGAATTATGGAAAGACAAATAGTGTTATTTTGTCTCATAATGCATGATGCAGCTTTTGTACTGTCACCAATATTGTTGGGCCATTTGAGCAGATATTTCCTGTATTTCCTCCATTTTTGAAGATTCAAACAAACTATGGACGGTGACTGAAAATAATGTCCCAGCCAAATTAAGTAAAAAACACAGGAACTGCTAATGTTAAGTACGTGGACATTGACTTGTATAGTTAATAAGTAAGCGTGAGATATAGTCAATAAGTACATAAGGGTGCAAGTGTGAGGGACTTATTATCCTGCTCCAAAGTCCAGCTACTAAGTATGGGTACTGTAGAAATGCAGCAAGGCTGAAATATACTTAATAAAGGTAAAGGTGGATTTTGAGGGGAGAGGTTTTAAATACAGAATTTTTGGGCTACTCTGACGGATGCCTGGAGCGGCTTGTGCAGGATGTCTGGAAAAGAAACCCTCTGGGAAGCACAACGTCCGCTCGAGCTGTGGCCAAGCAAACATGAGCAGGAGTGCGCTGACAGGGACTGTAGGGTGATGTTTCACGAACTTTGTAAACCAGTCTGAAGTGTCAAAGCATTTATTTTAATGTCCTACCTGATGCCAGAATCAGAGATGGAGTAACCAAGAGTCACAATGAGGAGAAAGGTGGGGTTTTGGTTTTTTTCTTTTTCTGGCAGTGTTGGCTTATACTAGCTTTAAAATATTCATGAAACTAGTCTTTGGAAACTGCATGTTAAAAATTTCTTTATCGGCAAAGATTTTTGGGGGGGTTATCTAGTGGTTTCCGCCTTCATGATGAGAAAATTGACGCTTTCTCTAAAACCACTGCGTAAGGATTGGGGAAGACAGAGCAAGACAGAACGATAAAGAGACTTTAGCAGCACCAGAGTGAGTGTGACGCTGTAGTATCTATAATGCTTAGAGATATTAAGCTTAAATCATCTTTCAGCTATTGCTTTTCTGCAGACTCTGGGCTGGGCCTTGGTGGTTTTCCTATATGTGAACTCAGAATTGAATGGATGTGACGTGGCTGTGGACATGACCTATGCACATCCAAGTATTTCCTTTAAGAGGCAACGTGGAAACGGAAAACAAGGATAAGTGTTTGAAAACGGGTTAAGTTTGTCTTGGCTGTTAATTTGTCTAACTGTTTTGGCCTTAAGAGTTAAGATTAACTTGTAAATCAGGTTGCATTTGAATCTGTATGCAAAGATGGCATCTGTCATTGCAGTGGGGACTCAAATTTCCAGGATGAAGTCTACTCCGAATCTGTGTTTGGGCTCCTGCGTTCATTGATCATTCGTAAAGGGCAGGTTAAAACAACTCGGAGAGCTTCAGCTCTCAGGGCACAGATCTCATATGTGCAAAATCAGCCCTTCATGTCAATGACTCTCCTTTATTTGCCTGTTTCAAAACAGCTTTGCACAGTCTTTATGCAAATACTACTGAACTGGAATCATTCAGAGTTGTGTATAAAAACCAATAGCAAGTTGTATCACAGATGTCTATCTGCAGAACGAAAGTATGTCCTCAGATAACTATAGCCAGGTTATTAGCAACAGGTTCTAGCTGGGTTTTTGTTTAACCCCTCCTGTGTGGCAGCCAGGCGTTTCCAGAGAGGGGCTTGGGACGCCTTTTACGTTTCTGAGCATGCAGAGTGCTTTGGTTCGCTTGCACAAGGCTCCAAGTGAGCAGCAGGGATCTCAACTTTAAGGTAAAGTAATGAGACTCCTTAAGACCTGGTTAGGAAAACCTTCACCCTAATTCTAAATGCGTCCCTTTTGCAGCTGTTTCAGAACCACATCTTCCCACCCGTTTCCAACTGTCACAGGCCTATATCATGAGCGTGCTGCAGAACCTGGAGTTTGGGTCAGGCGTGACTTTACTAATCATTTCTGCTGCTACAGAGAAAATAAAAAATGGTTCTTGGCAGTTTTCTGCGTTTGAAGGGATTTCTGTGCCAACTGACGCTAGCTTTTGACATCACTTGGCCTTGTTTTCTTATACACAGCAATTTTTTTTCCTCTCTCCTTGATGGGAATTGTCTCGGTCAGAAAAAAACAAACTGGTGGTTGCAAGCAGTATGGCAAGAGAAGTACAAAAGGGATTCCGCTATGCCTTTTTCCCCTAAAACACACCTCGCAGTTTGGATGGATTTGGATGCTTGTAATTGCCCAGTAGGAAATGTTATTGCAAAAACAGCTCAAACAGTTTCTTATGCAGCAGCATAAGCATGGGAGAGTGAAAAAGAGCTGCCTGGGAGCTTTCAGGATTTCAGATGAAGTCCGCTAACCTTACGCGCAATTAGCCAACAGCGTATGCGCACCTTGACAACGATGTGTACTAACACTGACATGACTGAATACCAATCTGTTAAAGCATTTAAGTATATCCTTAACCTGAAATAGATCTACAGATCTACTTTGTAATTTACTTTTTATTTGCATCTTAAGCAGTCAGGAAAAACATCCTGAAGAAACTCTCTTCAAAGGGAATGCACTGAGTGCATTAAGGCTAGCCCTGGATGGAAACTTCTGCCTGAACTGGAGACTCATTGATGGATGCTGTTTTCTGACACTCACCATCTATGCTTTCCACGGAGAGCTGCAGGCCGAGGTTGTGCTGTGGATTCACCACCCAGTGATTACTGGTTGCAGTAATATCAAACACGAGCCAGCCTTCTTCTGCAGCCCAGATCGTTCGAGAGTCAAGCAGGAACAAATCTGAATCCCTGAAAAAAAAAGGAAACATAATTCTCAGTTATCTGGATTTTCCATTGGAGTCTCTGTGGACATTCACGTGCATGCTTTAAGCAACACGCTTGGTAGGCCGTTTCAGTAATACACAAACGGTGCCAAGGCTGTACTGGCACACTTTCCTATCTCTTCACCTTCATTTGATGTTCTTTTTTTTCTCTTTAGAAAAGGGAGGATGAGTTGAAGCAGAGTTGAAGCGGTTTTGGGTTACTTTGGTATTACAGTTAACCTTAGAGCTGCTGCTGGAAAAAAAAAAAAAAAGCTTGCCAGGCATAGATTTGCAAAATTATTGTTTGCATATGCAAGCTTAGTAATTGGGCCGACGATGCTGCTCATTATCCTTTTCACACATAATTTCCTGACTTCTATGCATAATTGTAGCACTGGTGCAAGCCAGCTGGAACACTGTTGTGCATATATATTGACATACATAATGTTTTTAAAATTTGTTCAGCTGAGGTTACAGATAATTGATTGAGGCAATAACCCTCTGCACAGTTACAGGTCAGCATTACTTTGGGCGGCAATTTCCTTTCAATTCGTTGCTTAAATTTTTAATAGATCACTGTTGGATTATTCTGGTTCAAGAACTGAAACCAGAAACTGAGGATGATCAGAAACAGAGAGGATTTCACGCGTTTAAGAAGAGAAGGGTGAAATCATTTTGGACTTGCAAAAAGTTTACCAGCAAATTTCTGTAAACCAAAAATTTGAGAAAAAACAGGTGCTGTAAAGGAAGCAATCTTTCTTCAAAAATGAAGAAAGAGATAAAATTTGGATGGAAAATAACAACAAAATTGGATAACGGTGCACTTGTCTTTATAAGAAGCAACTTTACAAGAAGAACAAAGAAACGCTGTGGAAGTGTCTAGACAAGAACTGCTTTGGTATTTTGAGTGTGCAACTATGACAACTTGTTTAAGTGTAAATTTTTATTTTTTTGAATGAAGAAATCTCTTTGGAAAACCCTTTAATCGCATTCTCAAAGCTTAAGGCAGGCCTTATTAATTTTGTCACTATTGATTTGCCAGTGCAAATTTAACTTAATTTACTCAGGGCCTCTTATCTGCAGAAGATAGCAGCTGATAGAGTGCTGCTGGCACAGAGCCTATTACATCCCAGACTTCAGTGACTCTCGACGCTGTGAGACACCAAGAAATTAGAGACTTTTGTCCCGTGCAACTGACTCAAAACAGAAATGGAGTTTTATTGCACTGTTTTCACTGCGTAGCTTTCCTCCCGACTTCTGTGGGCCAGGACTTTCCTCCGCGAGCGAATACATGTCACCACCTCTGACTGCACTAGCTGACCCGAAATTAGACTTCTGTGGTTAGTTCCTGCAGAGCATGTGGCCGCGTGGCCGCACACACGTGACAGTGGCGTTCTGTAGGCCCCTCACAAATGCGCGATATTATTAACCTTTGCATGCAATAAGGCTTAATATATATCTGCAGATGTTGCTGAGGGTGCAATTAGTGCTGCTGATTGTAGCCTGAGGGGAAGGGGTGGCGGCAGAAAGAGGAGGCAAGGCCGGCCGCCGTCGCGCGCCGTCGCCCTC